GTTCTTTTGTGGGTAATAGCTGACAGCTTGCGACCTACGGCAGTTGCGCCTAGTTACTGGAGCTAGCTGGTTCTTTGTCTACCTGGAAAAGGAGAGAATTCTAGCCAGAATTAGTTCTCCATACAATAAAATACAGAAGGCTTGAAGCACTGCATCGTTTGAAGATATTATTTTAAAATATCAGGGTAAAGAACAGGCGTGCATGGAAAAATAGAAGCAGTCATTTTCAGGCGCTCTCTCAGGGCACGATAGTAGGCATCTCAGCTGACATACTCCAATCAGTGTTCCCGCCAGGGGTCATTTCCTGCAGGAGCGCACGGGAGCGGAGCTCCGGCAGTAAAGAGCCCAGGGGGCGGGCACATCCAACAAGCCCCACCCCCTGCTCCCAGCAGCCCTCAGTCAGAGCAAGAAGCAGCCAGGTAAGTTGCAGAGCCCCCCGGCCCAAAACAGTCCAGTGGTACCTTTAAGACCAGGTTTTATTCAGGTACAAGCTCTCCCTCCTCTGTGAGGGCAGATCTGCATGTGTGTCCCCCCCCCCAATAGCTAGCAATCCAAAACAGTCCAGTGGCGCCTGAGCGGTGGGTGTTGCCTTCTGACACACTTCCGGTGACGTCAGGGGGTGTGGCATATGCAAATAAGTTATGCTACTGAGTTATGCTAATGAGCTCCTGCACCTCTTTTTCTACGAAATGACCCCTGGTTCCCTCTAAGCTGCGTTAGTGTGAGCTACAGTTTTTTTAAGCCTCCGGCTCACACATTTTTTTGTCTTAGCTCAGGAAGGATGTGGCTCCAGAACCAACTAATTTATGCAGTAGCCGAATCGCTCGCTCACAACTCTAATGGCAGTAAGCTCACAAAAGTGGAATTTTTGCTCACAAGACTCCGTGGCTTAGAGGGAGGACTGATTCCAATCCATCCCTTTTGGTAAGCGTAGTTGTTCTCAGTGCTCCGAACCAACCCTCCCTATTTAGGTAAGCCATCTCCGCTTGAGAGAAGTCAGTAATAGGTTGGTGCCACAAGTGTGAACATTCTGACTTCTGATTGGACACAGAGAGCTGGCTTCCATGAAGGCGAGCAAAGGAGAGCAAAGTTCATGGGCTGGCTAATTCACAGGCGGATGCAGTTGTTAGAATGCACGGATTCCTTAAGCCATGATGCCTGCTTGTGGCCTGAAAAAGCATGGCTGCTGATGCCTTCATAGACCCATGGCAGGCTGTAGACCAGGAGTGTCAAACATGCGGCCCATGGGCCAGATCAGGCCCCCCCCGAGGGCTTCTATCGGGCCCGAAGTGGAACTGGCTGTCTTCTGCTTCTTCTTCCAGTTCTGCTGCTGCTGCGTCATCATAGGTTTGCAGCTTACAGATACACACCCCAACACCACACTCAAGATTGCAACAGCACAGACATTTCGATGCAGTAATTCGGAGCAAGAGGTGTCAGTTATCAGACACTGTTAAATAAACAAAATATCGCAAGAGTGCTAATGTTTTGAGTATTTAGTAAAAAGAAACCCCTTTGTGTTTGTGTCCTTTATAAAGTTTATCTCTCCGCTGCCTGGCATTACATTTTATGACACACGTGGCCCGGCCCAACAAGGTCTCGTTTATGTCAGATCTGGCCCTCATAACAAATGAGTTCGACACCCCTGCTATAGACTGTTTCCAAAAGCCCCCCTCCCTCTCAAGCCTCTGTAGCAGTGCCATAAACCCCTTCCCTCTATTCCCGATGGAGTCACCAAGTGGCTAAGGGACCAGTATTCTCTGTGTCTCGTCCATATTCATCCCACTCTTCTTCCAAGAAGATCACTGCGCTTGGCCTGTGTTTTCACTTATGCATCTGCTCTGGGCTTTGGACGGGTTCCTGGATTTTGGGTTTCAACCGCTGACCGCCGTGTCTGTCTTCTTTCTGTGCCCTTGATTCTTCCCATGAGAAGAGCTATCGCTCTTGTGCTTCTGTGTGCAGGATCCGTAAAGTGATGGGTCAGTGCCGCTTTATCCCCCCGTGTCTCGTTTCAGTTCATTATATCGGAGAGTGAGCGAGGAGAACCGCCGTGCCTGGTCGAGTGTCCCCGGGAGAGAGGCCGGCCCATCTGTGCCTCCGATGGGAAGCTCTACAAGTCCCCGTGTACTTTCCAGAGAGCGCGTTGCCGCGAGCCTTTCCTAGAAGCTTTGCCACGGTCCCACTGTGGCGGGGGCGGCCATCGAGAACCCAACAGTAGGTAGAGACTTGATGGAATGGATTGGGAGCGGGTTGGCGGACGTTTGCGCGAGGTAACCAAGAGCACAAGAACTCTTGCAGCCTTAAGAATAGCCTTGGAATGTCTTTGAAAATGTCATCTCCTCTGAAATCAGGCTACCGAGTGATCGAGCAGGGCGCTTCGGGAGGGGAACTTCACACCGATACTGAAAAATCATAGCCAGTTGCCTGTTAATTTCCAGGCATGACTCAGGATCTTATTCTGGTATCCGCTGCTCCACCCCCTGACCTGGTATTTTCAGCAGCTGCTGGGGGTGGTCACCCATTTCCCATTGTTAAACTTGGACACTTTTATAGACCCGTAGGAGCATGCTCCTAGGTTTATGGGCCATCTTGGTGTGATTAAGTTTGTATAACTGTGGAACGTTTTATTATCTTGTGTTTTCATTGCTACGAGCCACCCTGAGCCCTGCACGCAGGGAAGAGCAGCATAAAAATCATATATGAAAAGTACTGGGTCTGATGCATGAAGTAGTGAATCAGCTCATATCTTTATTTATAGCTCAGGAACTAGACACAGAAGCCGGCTCGCAGGCCGGTTTATATCCTGAAGCCAAACCACACCCAAACACACCCCAATACCCGTGATAGGTCTATTTATGTTGGTTAGGTTAACTCTAGGATCCTAGTCTCCCGATTGGAAGGGGAACTAGGATGCGACTGTCTATTGTTCTGGTGGAGCGAAGCTCAGGTCCTTTGCATGACCACGTGCGGACCGGCTGGAACCGGATCGTGCACATGGTTGGGTTGGTACACAACAATATATATGTGCAGGATCAGGGCTAAGTCCGCCGTGGTGAGCAATGCTCCCTCTAAGCTGTGGAGTCTTGTGAGCAAAAAATTCTACTTTTGCGAGCGACTGGCATTAAAGTTGTGAGCAAGCCATTTGGCTGCTGCATCCATCAGTTTGCTCTGGAGCCATCCTTCCCCAGCTGAGACAAAAACGTGCGAGCTGGAGGCTAAAAAAGTGTGAGCTGGCTCTCACTAGCTTGGCTTAGAGGGAACACTGGTGGTGAGCCTGCCCCGTGCAACAAGATTGATGACAGGGGCTCCTATTTTGGGTACCTCTGTGTGAAGCAGGTGGATTCTGGCCGCCAGGCCTTCTTCGTGGTAGTGCCTCAACTCCTTAGCTCCATCCCTGTGCGGATCCACCTGATGCCATCTTTGCCACCATTTAGACACCTGATCAAGTCCATCCTTATTTCCTGTGAAGAAGGAGGGGATAAGAGAAGGTTAGCACAGCTGCTTTGCAGCTCACTCCTGCGTAGGGTTGCCAGCCTCAGGGTTGGTACACAACAGTATATATGTGCAAGATCAGGGCCAAGTCCTCCATGGTGAGCAATGCTCCCTCTAAGCTGTTGGGTTGGTACACAACAATATATATGTGCAGGATCAGGGCTAAGTCCGCCGTGGTGAGCAATGCTCCCTCTAAGCTGTGGAGTCTTGTGAGCAAAAAATTCTACTTTTGCGAGCGACTGGCATTAAAGTTGTGAGCAAGCCATTTGGCTGCTGCATCCATCAGTTTGCTCTGGAGCCATCCTTCCCCAGCTGAGACAAAAACGTGCGAGCTGGAGGCTAAAAAAGTGTGAGCTGGCTCTCACTAGCTTGGCTTAGAGGGAACACTGGTGGTGAGCCTGCCCCGTGCAACAAGATTGATGACAGGGGCTCCTATTTTGGGTACCTCTGTGTGAAGCAGGTGGATTCTGGCCGCCAGGCCTTCTTCGTGGTAGTGCCTCAACTCCTTAGCTCCATCCCTGTGCGGATCCACCTGATGCCATCTTTGCCACCATTTAGACACCTGATCAAGTCCATCCTTATTTCCTGTGAAGAAGGAGGGGATAAGAGAAGGTTAGCACAGCTGCTTTGCAGCTCACTCCTGCGTAGGGTTGCCAGCCTCCAGGTGGGGCCTGAAGATCTCCCGCTTTTACAACTGATCTCCAGCTGGCAGAGATCAGCTCCCCTGGAGAAAATGGCTGCTTTGAAGGGTGGACTCTATGGCACTAGACCACGCTGAGGCCCCTCCCCTCCCCAAACCTCACCCTCTCCTGGGTCCACCCCCAAAGTCTCCAGGTATTTTCCAACCCAGACCTGGCAACCCTACTCCTGCGGATGTGATCGTATCCTTGGGGTAAAACCCTGCTTGCGCTGAAAGTAACTTCTGGAATGAGAAGTAGTTAACGCTTGCAGCTAAGCAGAAGTTGCCCCCTCAGACCCGGAATCCTGCCAGTCCCGGAGCCATAGGGTAGAAGGATATAAGCAGTGAGAGTGACATTCCTCGGGCATGCTCGGAACCATATAAGACCGTTGTTCACTTCCGGCTCCAAAATAATTTTTCACGTCTCCCTCCAACCCCTGCCCCCTCCATCACAATGCAGACGCCAATCTCACCCGCTGCCAGGAGGACCGAGCCACTGCCCTCTCGCAGTCCCGCCGCCAGGCACATGCCACCTACATCCCGGAATGCAGCGAAGATGGATTGTTCCTGCAGGTAATCCACCGAGTCCTTTCCTTATGGTCTGGTGGTCCTGACCCCTGGTCCGTCTTGGGGAATCCCAAGAATACCGCGCTGTTTTGTTTTGTTTTTAAACCTCCACTGCCACCATCATAAACTGTGTGAACAGAAGGGCTGTTACTGTTCATAACGGGGTTAATATTAATTAGGGGTGGTTTGTTATGGGGTTGGTACCCAAAGGGCCTTTTTGGTGGCTGCCCCATGGTTATAGAGTAGGCTCCCCAGGCAGCTAGATTCAAGCCCAGTAGCACCTAAGAGACCACCAAGATTTTCAGGGTATACATTTTCAAGGGTCAAGGGAGCTTTGACTCGTGAAAACGTATCCCCCCAAATTTAGGTGGTCTCTTGGGTGCTGCCGCTGGACTTTAACCTGGATGTTTTATGGCAAACGAACATGTCTACCCTCTGACACTCCCCAGGGAGGTGTGCCTGGCCCCCTCACTTTCCATCTTCAGGAGGCAGTTGGTTTTATTTAGGATTGCATTTGTGCTGACTTGGCTGGTAGCCACCGAGGCGATAAGCTAGAAGCTGAAGACACGAGCCGGAATCAAGGTCAGTGAGAAAGCAGAAGGTCGGATAGCCGGGAAGTCATTGCAAGAATGCAGGTTTCCAAAGGCAAGGAGCAGCTGCTGCACGCTCAGAAGCAGGTCTGATTTTGCAGAGTTGCTGCTGCGCTGGAGCCGGTGCACCAAGGGGTTTTAAACAGATCCTCCCTCCCTTTGGAGTTGAGTCTGCAGAGGCTTACAACTCCTCTCGTTGACGTTGGAGCTGCGGCCTGGCACTCCTTCTTCGTTCCTGCAAAGTCAGCCTCTGCCGTGTCCTACGTCTGGGACTGTCATGACCCCAGCGGGTTGCCACCTTCTGCTGCAACCACCCTGGACTTAGGTCCCTTGAGAAGGCCCAGGTTACCTTCCCAAGCCCCTTCAAATTGCCCCTTTTGTAGCCGAGAAATGTAAGCGTGATGACCAGGCAGAGAAACAATTAAACAATAAGGGTTTATTATTACAGTACTAGGCAGGGGAAAGACAAGACAAGACAAGGTGCTTTAAAATACATAACAGTGGCCCCTGCCACATGGCAGGGAAAACACAGTGAAAAGCGTGGCTTTTAAAAGCCGCACCAAAGTTGTGACGCTCCCCGGCACGATCAGATGCCGGGGAGGAAGAGTCGAAGGGAAGGGGGAGGCTGCCGAACTGCGCATGCTCAAGCATGCGCAGTTCGGCCGGGGGCCGGGATGTGCCCGCGCGAGGACGTGCCGGCCGATCCCACGGCCGGTTTGAGGCGCTCTACTTCAGAAGAAACACCCAGGTAGGTGGTTCTTTTTGGTGTGGATTTTCGGCCGGGAGGGACGGATCGGAGACGGGCAGGCAACGATTCCCAGATGTTGCCGTGG